CCGCAGTCGTCAGCACATAGCCCCTCTCCCTCTCTGTGTCTAAAGTCCAGAATTACTCTTGTCATATGTTTATAATCAATTAAAAGTATAAGGCACCATGTGCAAATTAACCCAGTTCCTATGTATTCACATAACTACATCTTGAGGGAATTTCCCACGTTGACAAAGATCATTAAGGTTGATAATAACAAGTGCTAGAAAACTCTAGGGAACAGACACTGAGAGGAATGTAAAGGTCCAGCTACTCTGGTGGGCAATTTGTTGTTAAGTGCTGTCGAGTCAGTTCTGACTCATAGTGACCCTATATAGGTTACTCAAGGAGCAGCTGGTGGGTTTGAACCACTGACCTTGAAGTTTGCAGTCCAGTGCTGATCTTACAGTGCCACACCATGAGGGCAATTAGACAGTCCCTATTAAAATTAAGGAGTCCCTGGAGGGTGAAAATGGTTAACATGCTCCTCTGCTAAGCAAAAGTTTGGCGGTTTAAGTGTACCCACAAGCATCTTGAAAGAAAGGCCTAACAATCAACTTATAAAAAATCAGCCATTGAAAATCTGCATCATGAGTTGGCATCAACTCAACAGCAAGTGACTTCAAAATTCTATGATTTGATGTTTTATTAAAACCCAAACTGCACAAATCTGACCATGAGCAGCTCTAAGAATCTGTACTAGGTACTTGTCTTCAAACGATTTCAAACATGATCCAGAGTCTAAGTGTCACCTTATAACTAGGTAGAAATGAATCAAAAGTTTCATGAACCAACGTTTACTTTACTTACATGTAATCAACTCTATTATCGTATAGTTTATTCCATTATATTCTTATCTTTCACAATTTTGGTTGTAGTCCTTCTAATGTTTTGTACTCATGAATTTGAATCCACAGTTTCAAAAACATTCACACATGTTCAAGTAAATGATCAAGATTGCTTTGTGTAGCAATGCTTATTATAGTGAAAATAACCAAATGGTCATCAAAAGGGAAATGGCAAAAGAACAAATTTTTTTTACTGCAGTAAATTTGTACAATGAAATACTACTTAGCAAACAGTAGGAGAATCATGATCAATATGACTGGCTAGATCTAAACAAACAAAACTGGTGAGTGAGAAGAACTTGTTCAAGGATATGTAGTTGTTAAGTGCCTTCGAGTCTGTTATGACTCATAGGGTTTCCAAGGAGTGTGAGTTTGAACTGCTGACCTTGCCGTGAGCAGTCTAGTGCTGGTTCTACAGTGCCACACCAGGATTCCTCAATGATATATACATACAGTATACCATTTATGTTAAATTTTCACTCTATCTCTTATCCACACATACATATTAAAAATAGGCTCATAGATATACAAAAGATTTAGAAAGATACACAGAAATTTACAGAATTATGTATCTTTAGAAACTGAGGGAGAATAGGACTGGGGGTAGTAGCCAGGGGTGTTTTAGTTTTAGCTGTAATATTTTCATTTTGCAAAAGGAGAAAACATTTGTGTATTGCTTATATAGTTACAATTTAATAAAAGTAAATACTGAATAAATGAACACATGTACAGAGGAACACAATATATATTCAAAATGAAGGCACAGATACATCAAAGAATGCAAGAACTCACATAGGAATGCTTATATGCATGATAGAATGTGTAGAAGAAATCATTAGTGAGTAGAAGCATCTGTGAACGCATCTACACATGAAAAGTATGAGCAAACTCATGCTCATCTTAGGAACAAACTCAACATAAATACATCAGCATATGTCTTCATGCAAGAAGAGAAAATGAAGTTATGCATGAATATCATCAGTTATGGATAGATGGGTGGATAGATGAGTGGATATATACATACTTAAAAGCTTGTTTGAATGTACAAATTTATGAAGTAATGTTGGTATGCATAATGACAAAAAAGAAGGGAGGGACAGAAAATAAGTAGGGCTTGCAAATTTCTCTTAGCATTGGGAAAAAAATAAAAGTCAACCAACAGAGACTGAACTGGGACAACAAAATGTTATCTGTATGCTACAAACCCAGGACATGTGCAAAAATGTGGATCAACAAGAGATGAGTGGGGAAGCTTGGTTTCCATTAGCATGTTGATGGAGGGCCAAGAGTCAATGGGACTTTATGTTGTGGGAGAATGGCAGCATCTCAAGAACCTTTACCTGTGCCTGTTCTGGCAAAGGTCAGGAAGGGCATCTAAGAGGACAGTGGGCAGCAAATGGACTGTGACAGTTGGCAGGGAAGCTTAGTGGCAGCCAGGCTGGAGGCTCCTAAGCCACACCATGACCTAGGTTTCTGAGCCATCTCAAACTTTTTTAACCTGGAAGATTTTCAGGAAGGACTTAAGTCATATATAGTCACATGTTTCATGTGCTGGTCTCAGGAAAAAAAAAAAAAAAGAGCCTAGAAGAAACCATCTATCTGGATAAATAAGCAACAGCTTTCCCAAGTTAAATGCCAGCTACAGCTCAAGGCATCAAGGGGTGACGACAGAGTACACATCTGGTTTTATCCTAAACTCAGTACTCACATGAAACCAGAATTAAAACAGGCATAATAATTAGCTCGCTAGGAAGCTGATGACTCGTTTTCTCAGTTGCAGGAGGATTATTGACTCAGCCTATCTATCTTCAACTCCTTTTTCCTGATTTGAAGGAGGTTAAGAACATCTGTTCTTATATATACATATTGAGTTCCTATAGGTGGGGATCAAGCAGGTTAAAGCCACTCTACTTCACCCCCCACTCCAGCATTCACAATCCTTGGGCCACCTCGCCTCTGGTTTACCTGTTGGGTAGAGGGACACAGGTGGCACTGGCTGGCATTGCTGAAGAACACGTTGATGATCTTCCAGTCATTCTGAAAGTTGAGTTGCTGAGGAAAGAGGCAACAGCATCAGAGAGGACCAGCAGTGAGACTTTGCACCCAGACAACACTGTTCCTTGCCTGTATTTCAATTTCATACGAATCGGGCTGCTAACTTCAAGGTTGGCAGTTTGAAACTACCAGCCATTCTGTGGGAGAAAGATGAAGATTTCTGCTCCCGTAAAGATTTGCAGCCTCGGAAACCCTGTGTAGGGTCACTATAAGTGGGAACCAACTCCACAGTACTTAACAATAAAAACAACAACGACAGCCCACATAAAATAGTATATATGGCGATTTTTCCCCCTCAAAAGATGAAGTATATGGTAGGGAGTCTAAAGGTGTACAATTACTCTGAAAAGCAATTTTGCAAAATATATCAAAAACTTTTTTTTAAAGGGGCAAATATACCCTTTGATTGTTCCCAAAACCCCTGATGCTGGCGAGTCAATTTCAATTCATAATGACCCTACAGGACAGAGCACAATTGGGTTTCCAAGGCTGTCTATCTTTCTTTCACAGAATGACTGGTGAGTTACAGCCACCCATCTTTAGGGTGTTAGGTGAGCACTTAACCACTGCATTCCCAGGGCTCCTTCACAATACTTAAGAAAGAGTAAATGAAGTAGTGGTTGTATACTCCCTAAGGGGGCTTTAAAAAGTTCCTGGAAAAAAAAAAAATTCCATTATCTTTTAATTAGAGACCTTCATCTAAAACCAACAGTTGTTGTTGTTAACTGCCTTCCAGTTGGTTTAGACTCATTGTAACCTGGCATAGGGATTCCAAGGAGCAGCTGGTGAGCGCAGACCACTGACCTTGAGATGCAAACTAACCATACTGTCCAGATCATTAACCCGCAGCACATGAACTCGCAGCGCCACACCAGGGACTCCAACAGTTAGTATGGTAATTAACAACAGCAATTCCTACTATAATAGTCGTCTCGATCTACTACAATGACTTTTATTAAGCACTGAATTCATGCCAGGTATCAAGCTAGGGAGTATACATACAACTGTGGTGGCTTGCATGTTGCTATGATCCTGGAAGCTCTGCCTGCAGTATTTTGAGTACCAGAGGGGTCACCCATGGTGGACAGTTTTCAGCAGAACTTCTAGCTAAGACAGACTAGGAAAGAGAGGCGGACTACTTCCAGATGGTTAGCCACTGAAAACTTCATGAACATTGTCAGATTAAGTCCTGGAAAATGAAAACATTATGAATAGTACCAGAATATTGTCAGATATATTGCCAGAAGATGAGTCCCTCCGGTTGGAAGGCACTTAAAATGCAATTAGGAAAAAGCTGACTCCTAAAAGTAGAATTGACCATGATGGTACGAATGGGATAAAGCTTTGGGGACCTTTATTTGCTGATGGGGCACAACTCAAAATGAGGAGAAACAGCTGCAAACATCCATTAATAATCAGAACATGAAATGCACAAAGTATGAAACCAGGAAAACTGGAAGCTGTCAAAGAGGAAGTGGAATCCAAAAACACTGATATCCTAGGCATTAGTGAACTGAAATGGACTGGTAATAGCCATTTTGAATCTGACAATCAAATGGTTTACTATGCTGGAAACGACAAATTCAAGAGGAATGTTGTAGCATTCATTATCAAAAAGATAGGATAATACCCATATGCCTATAAGAAAGACCAGTTAATACCATCATTATTCAAATTTCACACTAACCACTAAAGCCAGTGATAATGAACTTGAAGAATTCTACCAACTTCTTTAGTCTGAAATTTATCAAACATTCAATCAAGATGTATTAATAATTACTGGTGATTGCAGCACAAAGGTGGAAACAAAGAGGAAGGATCAGTAGTTGGAAAATATAGCCTTGGAGACAGATACGATGCTGGAGATCACATGATAGAATTTTGCAAGATCAATGATTTATTCATTGTAAATACCTTTTAAAAACAATATAAAAGGTGATTATGCATATGGACCTCACCAGATGTGTGAAAAAGCTCAATATCATCAACCAAAACCAGGCTAGGGGCAGACTGTGAAAAAGACCATCAATTTCTCACATGAAAGTTCAGACTGAAGATGAAGATTATAAAAATAAGTCCATGAAAGCAAAAAATATGACTTTGAACATATCCCACCTGAATTTAGAGACCATCTCTAAAACAGATTTGACTTATGACTGAACACCAGAAGAGTTGTGGGATGACATTGAGAACATCATACAGAAATAAAGCAAAAGGTCATTAAAAAGACAAGAAAGAAAGAAAAGGCCAAAATGGATGTCCGAAGAGACTCTGAAACTTGCTCTCCAGTATAGAGATGCTAAAGCTAATAGAATAAATGAGGATGACAAAGAGCTGAACAAAAAATTTTAAAGGACAGCTTGAGAAGACAAAGTCAAGTATTATAATGAAAAATGCAAATATCTGGAGTTATAAGACCACAAAGGAAGAGCACACTCAGCATTTCTCAGGCTGAAAGAACTGAAGGAAAAAAAAAAAAATAATAAAAATCAAGCCTCAATTTGAAATACTGAAGGATTCCATGGACAAAATATTGAATGATGCAGAAAGCATCAAAAGAAGATGGAAGGTATACACAGTCACTGTTTCAAAAAGAAATGAATGGTGTTAAACCATTTCAAGAGGTAGTATGTGATAAAGTACTAAAGGAAGAAGTCCAAGCTGCACTGAATAGATGGAATAGACAGAGTACAAATTGAAATCGTTCAGCAAACTGATGCAGGACTGGAGGCGCTCACTCTTCTATGCGCTCACTCTTCTATGCCAAGAAATTTGGAAGACAGCAGCCTGGTCAACTGATTGGAATAGATCCATATGTGTGCCCATTCCAAAGAGAGGTGCCCCAAAGGAATGTGGAAATCATCAGACAATATCATTAATATCACATGCAAGTAAAATTTTGCTGAAACTAATTTAAAAATGGCTGCAGCAGTACATTGATTGGGAGTTGCCAGAGGGTCAAGTTGGATTCAGCCAAGGATGTGGAACTAAGGATATCACAGCTAATGTCAGATGGATTTTGGATGAAAGCAGAGAATACCAAAAAGATGTTTACTTGTGCTTTACTGACTATGCAAAGGCTTTTGACTGTGAGTATCATGACAAGCTATGGATAACATTGCAAAGAATAGGTATTCAGAACACTTTGACCACTCATGAGGAAATTGTACAGACTAAGAGGCAGCCATTAAAGCAGAACAAGGGGATACTAAATGGTATATGTGAAAGTTGGACAGTGAATAAGGAAGACCACAGAAGAATTGACACATTTCAGCACTGATGCTGGAGGAGAATATTGAAAGTTACCATGGACTGCCAGAAGACCAAACAAATATATATTGTAAGAAGGACAACCAGAATACTCCTTAGAAGTCAAGATGAGATTTTTGTCTCTAGTACTTTGGACATATAATCAGGAGGGACCAGTCCCCAGAGAAGGACATCATGCTTGGTAAAATGGAGGGTCAGTGAAAAAGAGGAAGACCCCCATTGAAATGGATTGATACCATGGCAGCAGCAATAGGCTTAAGAATAATAATTGTTAGGATGGGGCACGACTGGGCAGTGTTTCCTTCTGTTGTGCATAAATCAGAACCAACTCATCAGCACCTAACAACAACAACAATAGGCAGAGAACTCGGGATTCAGACTCAGTCTGCCCCTTCTATGGAACCTATGTGAGAAGTTATTTGTCCCTCTCCTTTTGGCAGGATCTCACAGGAAACATTCTAAACATAAGATCTAGTCCTATGTTTAAAAACCTCCAGAGAATCACGCTGGAAGGAAGATTTTTGAAGAGCCAGGCCACCCTCATGGCTGAGTACAAGGCAAGATGGTGCTGGGGCCTCACTGGTTGGTGTGTTTGGTCTGACTGCCTTATAGCAAATGAAGGCAGCCTCCAGTATGCTGAAGGGTCACATGGATTCTTACCAGGTTCTCTTTCATGCTTCTCACCAGTTCTCTGGCCTGAATCCACAAATCTCTGTGCAGGAGAAAAGCAGAGGGGAAAGTCAGTTAAATATTATTCTATATGTTTACTAAACCCTGAAGTCTGACCCTTATGGATCATAGTCACCATCCTGGCTGCAGGTTGAAATTTTGCCTCTTGCTACCACCCAGGTGCTAGAGTGTGAAGGGGTAGACATTGAGCTGGTGGTCAAAATCAGGTCAAAAGCCAGTCCAAAGTCAGTAAGGGAGTGGTATCTCAGCTTCGGCTTGGTAATGATTTTTATTTTTAGACCTCATTGACTTTGACAGTCCAGCCCATATCTTCTAGATTACATGCCAGAGATCAGCAGGAACAGGCAACTCTGGAAGGCTGCAGACAGGGAACTTACACAGCATCACTGTGGTGCACAGCACTCGTCCCAGCAGGGCACATGGGCCTCAGAACAGAGGGATTGAAATGTCTGATGACTTCTGAAAGGACTAGAGAGAGAGAGAAAGACACAGAGAGTTGGTTTGAGATCTTGGTCCTGACTCCTTGGGGGTGAGGGGCTGGGGTTGCTGCTCCCACTCCAAGGTACAACCTTCACACCCTGACCTGGAGCATGAGAGGTCAGCCTCATTTTGTTTTTGATTTTTTTTTTTTTTTTGCAGGCCCCTGGAAGTGAATTGTTGTTGTTATGTGCCATGGAGTCGGTTCCGACCCACAGCAACCCTGTACAGGGTTTCCGAGGCTGTAAATCTTTACGGGAGCAGAAAGCCTCATCTTTCTCCTGTGGAACAGCTGGTGGTTTTGAACTGCTGACCCTGAGGTTAGCAGCCCAAATTGTAACCAGAGCTCCTTCTGGAAGTGAATAGCACCTATTAAGTGCCAGACCACGCCCAACATTAAATACTTTCCAAGAATTCTCTATTTCATCCTCTCCACAAACCCAAGGCAAGTTATCTCTAATTCAGTGAATAGGAGGAGGCAAACTGAGATTTAGAGAAGGTAAGCAACTTGCCCAAGGTCTTACAGACAACTTGAACCAGAACTTGCAGACAAGAAAGCTTTAAACTGTCACCAGCTGCCACCTCATTAGAGAAAGTGATGAAGGGTCGGGGCACAGGCTCCCTATGGCCCCCTTTCTCCTCCTGAGAGTGACAAGGAGGCGGGAAAGCTCTGGGGAACACACAGAGAATGTGTCCCAGAGCTGACAGCCAGAGACCTCTAAAAATAGTGCTGTCAGAAGCAGTTCTGTCTTGCTCCCCAGAGAGGAGAGGGCCGAGTAGGGAGAGAGTGTGGTGGGAGGAAGCTGCCTGCAGCTCCATCACAGCCCCCTTTGTTTTTGCTCCCATCCAGCAGAGCCTGGGGGCTTTGTGGAGGCAGAAGGCAGCTTTAGAAGGACTCCCTTTAGTGCGGGAACCCAGGCTGTGGAGAGCATCTCAGGCAGCAGGTGGGGGTGTGATGGGGCAGAAGGGCTGAGTTGGAAGCAGAAGACTTCATCACATGGTTTTGTGATCTTAGAAAAAGCCACCTCATTCATTTGTGACTGAGGTTTCTTCATCCTTAAACAAGTGAGTTTGTTTTCTAACCCCTAACTAGGTTTGCAGAAGTAGCCAAATCACACACGTGGAGAGAAAAAACAAAAGCTCTGAGGACAGTTTAAGACTATAGAGATGTGTGTGAGTATGTGTGTGTGACAGATAGAAGAGACAGAGATAGTGGAAGTGAAATATGGAGGGAGAGGACTTTCTTATAAGATTGTTGTTGTCAAGCGCCGCCATGTCAATTCTGACCTATAGCAACCCAGGTTTCCAAGAAGTCACTGGTGTTGACCTTGCAGTCTGTGCTTATCCCACAGCACCAAAAATTAAAATCAGAAAACATAACACAGCAGCTGTATCTGTGGTGTTAACATATTAGACATATGCCATCTTCCCAAATATCCCAGTTGTGCCACTTTATGAGGGCATTCAAAGTCTTTAGGGAAAAACTCCATTATGTTTCATTCCACTTTTCCACAGACTCTCTGAAGCCTCCTTGTATTTCTTTTGGGAGTCCTGGTATGGCACTGTGGGTTAATGCACTGGACTGCACGATCAGTTTGAACCGCAAGGTCGGCGGTTCAAGCTCACCAGCTTCTCCTTGGAAACTCTATACAGGGTTGCTATGAGTCGGAACCAACTCAATGGCACTTAACAACAACAAGCAGTTAAAGGACTCCTGGTGTGATGCTGTGGGATAAGCACTGGACTGCTAACCATAAGGTCGGTGGTTCAAACCTACCAGCAGCTCTTAGAAACCCTATACAGTATTCCTATGAGTTGGAACCAACTTGACAGCACTTAACAACATCAGTTAAAAGGAATGTGATGGCTCCATTCAATAAACACTGGACTGTGAACCACAAGGTCCATGGTTTGAGCATGTCAGCACTCCATGGGAGAAATATTAGGCTTTCTGCTCCCACAAAGATTTAAAGCCTCAAAAACCCTATACGAGGTCGCTATGAATTGGAACTGACAACAGCACTTAACAACAACAACCAGTTAAATGTAAACAGAATCAGGCCTAGGCATAGGAGTTGTTGTTGTTAAGTACCGCAGTCGGTTCCAACTCATAGCGACCCTGCAGAGGTTTTCCGAGGCTGTAAATCTTTACGGGAGCAGAAAGTCTCATCTTTCTCCCGTGGACAGCTGGCAGTTTCTAACTACCAACCTTGAGGTTAGCAGCCCGACTCGTAACCACTATGCTGAAGGACACTTAATCAATTGAGGGCTTCCTTTTTAAAAACTCTTGACCCTTGTCTACATTTGACCAACAAAACTCTGTCCATCAGATAGCATAGGGGCTGACACCAGGCTTCAGCCTTCCCAGCTGAAGTGTGAGGACCTGAGGACAGGACCAACATCTTCATCTCTCCTCTCTGAGGTGTCTAGTAAACACCTGGCTCTCTGTGCAAAGTCACTGGTTGAAGTGACAGCCCTGGCTCCCAGGGTCCCTTGTTAATTACACTCCCCTGGAGGGTGGCTCTGCTGAGTATTTATGTTTCTATTTACCTCTTCTTATTCTAATTAAGGAGTGAACTGTGGTTTCCCTTGTTCTCGATTTATGAGCCACAAGCATAGAAGACTCTAATGTCACAGGAGGCGAATTCAGCTAGAGCTAAGGGATTTAGGGATTTCAAGATGACTTAATACAGAGAGTCAGAAGGGACCTTTGATGGTAAATGAAAAGAAAGAAAAAAAAAATCAGACCACATATCCCTAAGCACTTCATATGTTAAAAAAGCAGCATGCTAGCAAAGATTATCTCTGGATAGTGAGATTATAGTCCATTTTTATTTTCTTCACTTCACTTTCCTGAATTCAACTGACATATTAATTTACAAGCCAGGGAGTTATTGCAAAATGAAATAGACTGAAAATTAGACTTGGGTCCTCTCTTTTGAAGAGTGAACTGTTGTGGTATAGTGAATTATTTAACATGCTTCTTCTAGCCTTCATCTTTAACTCCCATCAAAAGACTGTTTTTCTGATGGGTCTGGGATAAGAGTAGATCCTGACAGGTTCATATGATTCAGTTGTAAATGACTGATAACAGAGTTCACTGTGATTGTTTAAAACTTGGAACTCTGGGTATAAAATGAGCCATCTCAGAAACTGGAGGGAGAGTCTCACTACCAACAAGATTGGTTAGGAGTGAAGCATATCCTTTGGACCCTGAGATCCTTGTCCACTGAACCTCCTTGACCCAGGGACAGAAAGCTGTTACACCAAAGGAGCAGTAAAGGAGCAGTAGCAGCAGAACCAAGAGCCAGAGCATGAGACAGAGTGGTGGGCTTCCAAGTCTAGAGAACAAATAAAGCTGACTTTGAGAAGGTGGCTTGCTTGCAGAGTGGGGTGCCTCCAAGCATTTAATTGGAGGAATTAGGTTTGTTAGTCCTTGGAGGTAAAGACTTTAGTGTCTTTAGGCTGAGGTTTATGGTGTAGTGTGGTCTGTGAGCATTTATTATCAACAGCTCTACAGGAGCTTTGTAACACTGCTCAGAGAGAGGCCTACCTATGGGCATGGCTAAGAAGAGGCTGTGTCTTGAACATTTCTGACCCTGAACTGTAACCTGTTAACTTCCCTAATAAACTCCATCACTGTGAGTATGGTGTCTGAGCTCTTTGTGGCCATTGCAACGAGTTATGAAACCTAGCTCAGTAGACTGTGGGAGGAATGGTTGGTTATCATTTTCTCTTTTACAATCATGGCCTATTTGCCCAGCTGAAGTGTTACAAGTCCAACCTTCAGGAAAGGAGCCTCAGGGTTGTCAGTCACCTCAGTCTAACCTTCCCACTAGCCTCCAACCTCTCTACCCTAGTTCCTAACCTCAACCCAATGCTTACTTCTCTACCCAGAGACCCTCAGTTATGCCTTGCATTAAGATTTTGTGACTTTCATGTCCCGCCCCCTTATCTGCTTTCCCCTTTGTGCCTCAGGCTTTGGTAATGAAGTGGTCGGTAGGGTAGATCCCCATTAACCAAAAATACTGCTGTATGGGGAGGAGCAGGACAATCTGAAACCAGATATAGAAACACAGAACTCACCTGTGACTAGTGCGCATGGCTGATGTGACCTCTTTTCAGTCCTGCAAGTAGATACAACCACACAAATGTCAGATTGTCTTTGTTACCTATCAACAACTCTTTCCCCTGACTGATGTGGTCTGTTTCCTAACAAGCTTTGGATCAGACTGGCTCTAATTCTTCAGTGGTCCTTCCTGGAGTCAGAGGCATAGCTGGAATGGCAATGGAGTCACCAAATGGGGGTGAGGATGAGGGCATAGAACCCACGTCTTCCTTCCCATTGCTTTAGTCTGGCCCCAACACTGGAAGAGGCTGTTGGCCAGTGTAAACGACTGACTAGCCCTGGCCCAAATCCTGCGTGGTTCTCCAAAAGTAGAGACAGGAGACCAGGTAGTGGGAAGCAAGTTTCAATATTTGTCCCTTCCTACATTTTTTCCCTATTCACCAGCATGGCCATGGTGACTTGTTGGCACTGGGAGTGTTGGCCTGGGAGGCTGGGTGTGGTCCCACTCTGCCACCTGCTCCTAGGTTTGCTTTGAGTACAGCGTCTGGCCTCTCTGGCTCTCAGTTTTTCTCCTTGGTAAAGCAATGTGATTATAGCAGAAAGTCTCCTTTCTGCTCTATCATTCTGTGGTTCCAGGACAGTTACCATGTTTGCTTCTTTAGGGAGATCATCCCTGAGTCAGCAGGCTGGAAAAAAGATACGAGATGTTAATAACCTAGCCAGGGAAGGTGGTGGGATCTTTCTTTGTGAGACCTCAAGTTGCTTGTCAGGTCACCCTGACCCACAATGAAAGGAGAAGCTGTGTACCCAGAGAAAGACCACATCCACCCCCTGGTAGTTTTACTATGAGGGAAAAATGTTAAGTTTTCCTTTAGCAGCATTATTTGACAGGTTTCAGAGCATCCAAAAAGTATGAATGCTT